GGTCGGTAAGCACCAAAACGGGGAGGTCGAGGGAGGAGAAGGAGCGCGAGGTTCCCGGCAGATCGTGGGCGAAATCTTCAAAGTCCCGCAGCAAAACGGTGACCCCCGGGGTGGGGGGGCGGGGGGCGGAAATGGGGCGGCAGCGGGGGGCTGGGGGGGGGGCGGGGAGGAGGCGGGGGAGGGAGAGGAGGAGGAGGAGGAGGTTGAGGGCGATGGCGGCTGCCAGGGCGGCCTGGCACGGAGTGAGGCGCATGGCGGTCCTTAACGAGCCCTGGTTAATTAAAAAGGGGGGGGTCACAGCATGGCACGGGGTGAGGATGACCTTAATGAGTCCTGGTTAATTAAGGAGGGGGGTCACAGCATGGCACGGGGTGAGGCTGACCTTAACGAGCCTTGGTTCATTAAGGAGGGGGGGTCACGGCATGGCATGGGTTCAGGCAGTCCTTAACGAGTCCTGGTTAATTAAAAAGGGGGGTCACGGCATGGCACGGGGTGAGGCAGACATTAACAAGCCCTGGTTAATTAAGGAGGGAGTCACGGCATGGCAAAGGGTGAAGGAGTCCTTAACGAGTCCTGGTTAATTAAGGAGGGGGGTCACAGTCTGGCAAAGGGTGAGGGAGTCCTTAACGAGCCCTGGTTAATTAAGGAGGGGGGGGTTGTGGAGGTGGCAGGGGATGGATGTTGGTGAGGGCTTGGCATGAAGGAAATTAATAGGGCTGCATTAATTAAGGGGATGGTGGGGGGGTCACTCGTGGGACGAGCCGCTCCTGTGGAGGGAAAGATGCGTTAATGAGGGGCTGGAGTAACGAGGGGATGTTAATTAACTCCCCCCCACACACAGGCACCCATGATGAGGTACCTATAGGCTGTGGGCATCCATAGGTACCACGCTTCTCTATGGGCGGTGCAGCCACCCCACAGCACCCGGTATGACCCCATAGCCCTGCCTTCCCCCATAGCCACCCCAAAACCACCCTATAGCCACCCCATAACCACTCTATAGCCATCCCCCCCCATAGCCACCCCATAACCACCCTACAGCCCTCCTCCCCCTACAGCCTCCCCATAG